AGGAATCAAACCAATGACCTTTTGGTGCATGGGACAACGCTCAATCCACTGAGCCACACTGGCCGGGGCCCATTCTTCATCTTTAAAACCATATTTTTACTGTACTTTCCTAAGTTTAGATACACAAATACCACTGTGTTACAGTTGCTTACAGTATTCAGTAGAGTAACATCCTGTATAGGTTTGTAACCTAGGAGCAACAGCTATACCATACAGCTTAAATGTGTAGTGGGCTATACAATCTAGGTTTGTATAAGTACACTTTATGATGTTCACACAACAACAAAATTGCCTAAAGATGTATATATTTTTAAAAGACGTTATTTTTCAGAACATATCCCCATCGTTATGTGGCACATGACTATTCTGAGATTTATCTGTGATCAGGAAGAAGATACAGTTTTTGCCCAGGAGATGTAAAAATTTCAATGACACCCTGAAATGGTTTAAGACTTTGATATTTTATTAAGAAACATCTTTATTTTAAATGACAGTACAAAAGTTGTATATATAATATAGATCTGTATAGGTGTATATACACACAAATGTTCACTCACCCCTACATACATATACACAAACTTCAAACTTGCTCATCAGAATCAAACCCTATTTTATTAAAATTCTAAATAAAAAAGAAGTTTTTTTTCTTTCTGAAAACACACTGTACATAAAGCTGTCAGACAGCCTGAAGAATGGAGGACATTTTAAGAAGTATCTAGGCACCCTACCCACAGTCTTCCTCTCCTCTCCCTCCCAATACCCTACTCCCACACCCCCATCCTCTGCCCCAACACAAATGGCCTTGACAGGTCAGTATACAGGGCAAAGCCAGAGAAGGGAGCTGCTATCATTATTGATAGAACAAGATGCCTGAACCCAACTAGGAAGCACAGTATTATAGAGTATGACCTAAATTCTCAGAAACAAACCACTTCAGAATAAACAGAAAATATGCAGTAGGGATAGAGAGGAGTGGAAAGAGGAAAGACAAGGCCAATAGATTAGAAATGACTAATTAAGTTCTAGTTCCTGGGAAAGACTCAATGAGATAAGAACAATGGGGTCACAGAAACAGAAGTAAGACGGGAAAGGGGAGGAGACAGAGAGATACGGAATCACAATTTCCTGCCATTAACGAACCAAATTGCTACTATAGAGTCTAGGAATGTCACCCACCCTCTAATCCTAGAGAGGCTCAAAAAAGAAAATAAAAGGCAGCACCAGAGGCTCAAAGCTACTTAATTCAAATTTATATTCTTCTTGCTCAATATATTGGCATAGGAAATAAGAGTACTAACTCAGAAGGGGAAAATATTCATCACATAAAATAGACATAGATAAGAGCCTAGAACAGCATAGGGGTGCTCCTGACATGTATTCCATTCTTAAGCTCCTTTTCTGGCCATACAGAGATGTCTGCACAAGCAGTAGGGAGGTGTAAGAGGCTGAACAAGTGCCAGTCAAAACAGCTGCCAGAGGAGTGGAGAGGAGGCTTGCTTTGTGGAAGGGCAGCTCCACCTCTACCTCAACACTGCTCTGAATCTGTTAGCTTACCCGGGGTCATCACACCACACGCTAATCCAATCTCTGTAAAGCCCGGTCCTGGTTCTCCCTGGGGCCTCACTCCTTAGGTTTCTCATTACTACCTGTTAGAGCACAACTCTCAGAGAAGAGCCAAAACAATGATTTTTCTTCCTCAAGCTCTTTAGTGGTTACAAAAGAAACCCTCTCTCATGCATTTAATGAAATAAAATATTTCCAGGTTATACCAGGTACTTGAGAGTTGAACCTCAAATAAAGAGAAAAATGAGAAAATACATATACATTTATAAACATACACACTAATATACACCCAGCAAAGGGGCATTAAAAATGTCCTGGTCATGCCCCGCTGGCATAGCCCCCCGCCACACACACACCCTTTCTCTCTCCTTCTTCTCTCTAAGCATATTTTAGGGTGAGGATTGGAAAAAAAGCCCTGCCAGGAAGTTGGTTGAGTGTTGTCCTGTGCACCAAAAAGTTGCCGGTTTGGTTCTGGGTCAGGGCACATACCTGGGTTGTGAGTTTGATTCCTGATTGGGGAAGCATATAGAAGGCAGGCAATCATTCTCTCTCTCTCCCTTCCTCTCTCTCTATAAAAATCAATTAAATATATATATGTGTATACACACACACACACACCCCTGATCACACGATACCTAATTTCAACTGGAAAAGCCCTCTGGTGAGTTCTTTCTTTTTTATCAGTATAAAGAAAGAAATCTTGTATGCCATATATTTCTAACATTATTGAGCGGACACACGGATTTTAATAACACAAGGGTAAGGCTGAAGAAAGGGGAAAGGCAAAGCCAAAAATAACTGAACACAGATCTGACAGAGAAAGACCGTCCTTTAAGGCACTGAATTAAAAACATAGAAAACCTAAGGCCAAGTTTTCCAATATTGCAGTTAAAAGACCTCAACTCTGGCATTACAATGAAGAGATCCCACAGAGGTAGTGATAGGAAGAGAATGTACACACAGTAATTTTCCTGAAGTCAGGAACAAGCACAGCAACGATTTATTTTTTTCTCTACTTGAGGGGTAGGCTTAAGATCAAAATGCAAAGGTCCTATATTAATACTGATATTATTAAAGCAGCTTTATTTTAAAGCAGGCAATCATCCTAGGCTCCAGGTTCCTTCTATTCAAGTACCAACTCTGAACCACTTGATTTTTATTTGATTCTCTGTAATCCAACCTTGCCAAAGGCCAGTTGAAATCCTCTAACCCAGAAAATCTAGCAACATTTTCCCAATTTCTGTGGCTGATCCCAAAAGAAAAATGCAATATCATAAAATAGTATTGCCATTAATGCATTTAGTGTTTAACTTCTAACTACTTCAAGGGATCCTGACTTACCATTCTCTCTACAGCAATACAACTGGAGATCAAATCTTATTTCCCTTCTCTGGGATGTTAAAAGCTTTATTCCAAGTAAATAAAAACAAATACCTCTTTGCTACCCACCCCTTTCCCAGTATTTCCCTTCTCTCTCTCCCTATCCCAACCCAATCTCAAAGACCCCATCATAAAAAATGACTTGGGCTGTATTCAGTATTGTTTGTGTGTAGGAATGACAGCCTCCTATAGGAAGATAAGAACAAATAAACAGCTCCCCAAAGCAGTAGGGGCTCTGTATGCTCAAAAGGGAGTGTTGGATGGAAGCTCCCCACTGCCAATCAGAAGCTGCATAGAGAATGAGGTGGCTGGACCTGGATATCTTCTGCAGTGTTTACCTCCACCCCATAACAGGGCAGAAAAAAAGAAATTAAAGTCAACATATACATTAAGAACATAAACAAAACACATCTAAAATGACACTTGATGCATCTATAGTTAAGCTAAGGCTCTGAAATGGCACACAATAGCAGCTTATTGTTAGCACCTGGTTCACAAAAGGACAGAAAAAACACACACATCACAAACAGAAACGGACAATTTGACAGCAGATACCATAATTTTATCCTCACCTTTACCTAGCCTCCTCCACTGCACTTTTCCATCATGCTAACAGCCCAGAGTAACCTCTGGCCAGCTGGGAAATGCTTGGTACTCAAGTCCCTCGGGAAAACCAAGTTAAGGTGGCAAGTCATCAAGATTAATTTCAAAACTGACATTTTTGCCTAGAAGCCTCTAATAGCCAATTCTGTTTGTATATTTGGTTTGGGGAGTTATGTTTTCAGTTTATTTTGAGCCCCAAATGATTTTTCACCTCTGAAAAATTGTGGCAAATTACTTCACTAATCAAGGTAAAGAGAACCATATTAACTGTCAAGTTTTATTCCAAATTAAAAATGTATGTTTTCCCTATGATCACTAATAAAACCATATTCTAAACAGTCACTCAAATGTTTACTTGGCACATCTCCCTCTGGTTTCTTCTTGTCATTTACAACAAAGCAAGCAAGCAAGCAAGAATGATGGGGGCCCAATTCCTCTGTAATGTAACCTCTCCACCACCTTTCTCTCTCCATCTATATTTACTTTGTTTTGAAAAATCTCCAAGCTGGCACACAAAGAATCCAAGCAATGAAACACTTTCCAAAAGTGTCTCGGCAAAGGGAGCAGGCACAGTGGGCGAGAAGGGAGTAAGGCCGATGAAGTATCTCGCCAGAATCTTTGGTTCCCGACTCTAGGCACTGACAGTTCTCACTCCCTTTGACGGCACACAATGAGCAGCTGTAAGGCACAAAGCTCTCCATAAGGTCCTACCTTAAGGAAACAGGGCAATCTACTCATCCCAAATCAAATGGCAACAAAACAACACAACATCTTCAACATTCGTTTCTCTCCCCCTTCCTTTATTGCATAGAGGAGGATACCATGTAAGTGCTACAGAAAGGCACATTTAGAAAACTCAACAAAATTTTATAAAATTAAAGAATTGCTATTAAAGCTTGATATTACATAAATAAAAGTTTGGAAGCAAGTTGTTCTAACAACAGACTATCATCCTGATTGCAATTTTGTAAAATCCAGCCAGAGCAAAGTTTGTATCTCAACACCAGGTTGTTTCATAACCCCAAGGAGCCTCTTTCTGGCCACTTTCCAGCATTGTGAAAGCACAGCCTTGGAGGATTTTGGATTTATATACACTTTTTCACATAAACGACTTTTCTTTCCAGTTTTAAAAAATTGTATTTCCGTTTCTTAAACTGGCAGCTGAGCTATAGACACACAATGGATGCAAATTTAGTCAGGCAATCACAAATTATTTTCAGTGAAATTAACTGAATAGTGGGGATCGCTTGCTCCTTTGGAAGTGGAATATATTCCTTTCTCTTCCCCAAAGCTTGCTCCTAACCTCCCTCCCAATTAGTTTTCTTCTGTAACAGACATAGTACATCATATATCTAAGGCAAATTTTCAGGTCACTTGATGGTGCAACTATTAAAGGATCTAGGTGGGTCCATATTAGGAATGTTATCTTAGAAAAATTTTTTGACAGAAAGTAAAATCTTTTGATAAAAAGTCAGTTATTGCAACAACCAACCAACCTACAACATGCAGCATTCTTTTACCTCTACGCTTAAAGCAATGATGTAAGCTGGGAAATTTGGTCCTTATTTTTTTGGCCTCTCAAAAGAAGTGTTCCCTAAATTGGGCTTTGATTTTTCTAGTTGCATAGAGAGTCTTCCTGAGCCCAAGCATTATACCCTGCTATAGTTTTCTTCTTAAGGAAATTCTTAATTTTTAAACAAGGTTTGTCCTGTTTTCTTTTAAAAAGAGAAAAAAAAAATGGATGTAGTACAAATTGTGGCCTTGTATGTTAAGATGAAACAGTTTCTATGGAAACTCCATGATGAGGCTCTGTGGTCCCTCCCGCCCCAGTCACTTCCATCTCTCTCTCTTCCATCTCCCCCTCTGTGACCACTACAGCATCTACCTCAGCCACCTCTTCAACCATGGTGAAATCAACTCCATTGGGCTGTTGTCGGGCCATGGCCTCCAGCTTGAGGCGGTACTGTTCTGCCTCCTGCTCTTTCTTGAGGAGCTGGTGTCGGTATTCCTGGGCTCTTCGATTGGCCTCCTGGAGCTGCTGCTGTAGTAGCTCTCTTTCCGTCCCTTCCTGTGAAAGGAAACCACATCAGCACCAGCTCAGAATTCCTGATCACAGTGTCCAGAGTGCACACAGAAGGTAAAAGTTCTGGCTTTTGATTCTTTGCCTTCTCTTCTCTCCACACTGCTAAAACATTACCTTGTTCTCCTCCACACTGTCTGTCATCTCTTCTACCTTTGGTTTCTTAGTCAATGGCAACTTCTCCACTTCTTCTTCCTCTTCTTCTTCAATTATAGTCTCCTCTGCAACCTGACCAGCAGGTACAGTTAGAACTACAAGCCAAAGGACACCAATTGAAGGTGATGAATACATTGTAAAACAAAGAGGTTTTGCTTGTTTCAAATTAGAAAATAAACTGAAATATATTCTCTGATATCTTATTTTTCATACACCTTTGGCTTTTAGAATCAGCAGGTAAATCATGGCCCTGCAGAGAGAAACAGAAAGGATTAGAGAGGCACTAAGAAGGTCTCTGGAAGGAAATGTAAAGATGGACAGGTTTGGAAGCCATGCAGTTAAGACCCAGGTCTGAGACTCTTATATAAAGATGTCAGGAACTATGACCAATTAGCTTATGATTCTGTAGGAATAACTTGTCTAAAGAAGGCCTGATGTCTTCACAGAATTTTTTTGTGTGTGTGGTTAATCCTCATCTGAGGATATTTTTTCCCATTGATTTTTTAAAATATATATTTTTATTGATTTCAGAGAGGAAAGGAGAGGGAGAGAGAGATGGAAACATCAATGATGAGAGAGTATCATTGATCAGCTGCCTCCGGCCCGCCCCCTATGGGGATCGAGCCCACAACCTGGGCATGTGTCCTTGACCGGAATCGAACCCGGGACCCTTCAGTCCACAGGCTGACGCTCTATCCACTGAGCCAAACCAGCTAGGGCTTTTCCATTGATTCTTAGTGAGAATGGAAGGGAGGGGGAGAGACAGAAAGAGAGAGAAACATTAATATGAGAGAGACACATTGATTGGTTGCCTCCTGCACATGCCCCGACTGGGGCTGGAGATTAAGCCTGCAAATGAGGTACATGCCCTTGACCAGAATCAAACCTGGGACCCTTCAGTCCACGGGCAGATGCTCCAATCCCTGAGCAACACTGACCAGGGCATCCCCATGACTATTTTCTAACTACCAATCTGTGTTTCTTAGTCCCTTCACCTCTTTCACCCAGTCCCTCAATCCTGCTCCCCTCTGGCTGGCGAGCACATGTGCCCTTTCTACTGAAGACTAAAGACTGCAATTCCCTGGCCAGAGCTGAAACACTGAAAAGCAGACTGGCACAGGAGCAGAGAGGCAGACTGGTGCAGAGTGGAGCAGATCAGAGATGCCTAGCTGAAGAGGGGGCTGGTTCTGGGGACTGCCTCACACTGAGCTGCTCCAGAGCCGTGCTGTATCACCACTGAGCTAGCCCACAGTTGTGCTGTTTTCACAGCCGTGCAGTATCACCACTGAGTTGTTTGCACTGAATAAACTTTCCTTCTTTACTGCATCCCAAATTGGGGATTCCTGTTGGCGATGAATTGGCTCCAACAACCGTCATTTGACAGCGTAATATTATAATGGTATCTCCGTGCAGTATTTATTTGCATTTCTTATACAAATGAAATAGGCTGAACATATTTCCAAAATTTTAAGAACCATCATTATTTTCTTTCTGTAACCTACTAGTTCGTATTATTTGCTCTTTCTACCAGATTATGGTTTTTACTTACAAATTTTATTATATATTAGAGAAATTCGCTTTGCCAGCCTGGTTCCTGTTTCTTTTTTGGAGCTTCTTTGCCCCATCTAGCATCTGGCATTCTCCCATTCCTACTACTTGCCTTAATACCTCATTTTTAGAGGAGAATTGAGTGTCTAAAATACCTTTCTTTTTTTAATCCTCACTTGAGGATATTTTTTCCATTGATTTCTAGAGAGTGGAAGAGAGATGGAAAGAGAGAGAAATATCAATGTGAGAAAAACACATTGATTGGTTGCCTCCTGCATGAGCCCGGACCAGGGTCCAGGCAAGGAAGGAGCCTGCAACCAAGGTATGTGCCCTTGACTGGAATCAAACCACAGACTGACACTCTATCCACTGAGCCAAACTGACTGGGGCTAAAATATCTTTTCATAAACAACTGTCGAATGGGATAACTCACCTTGCTGTCCATCTTGCACAGTTACAATAAATGGCTGGCCAATGCCTCCAGTAGGAATTGCAGTTTGGATATTACCCAGAGGCACTCCGTCGGTCACTATGGTGATCACCCTCTGGCCTCCACTCCCCACCACTTGCTGGATTGATGAGTCAACAGAATTTCCTTCTATGATTTCCTCTGAATTAGCTAAAGACGACAAAAGTAAACTTAAGATTTTAGCTCTTTAGAAAACCTAAGTATAGCAATTTCAGCCTCCTTGAAATTGGTAATATTGAATATAGGAAAACTAAAAAAAACACACATTAGATTTAGCAGTACACAAAAGCAAGCTCTGACAATGCTAAGTCAAAGAAGAAAAGAAATACAGAATGCATTAAATATATTCTCTAAAATGTCTTCATTGAGATGTTAATAGCGTTCACTAAAGATGAACTAATATACTAATGTACTAATATATTCTCAAAATTCTGGTTTAAATATGCTTAGACTTTTTTGTTTGTTTTGTGGGAAGTATCAGAGACCCCAACAAGCTAATGAGCACTAGGATTCTCCAATATGGGATAAGATATGCTAAGTTTCCCTAACATGTTTGATCTTAAAACTTTTTTTTCCCAGGAAGCATCTTGAAAGTCTAACATTATAAAGCTTAGAAAAGTAACTATAAATTATAAATTAGAGTAAATTAGAGTAAATCTATTTCTAGAAGGAAATAGAGACATTTAGTAGTGAATTCACAATATGTTAAGTAGTCAGAGCGTTTAAGAAGTCTGACAGACAAAAATGATAGGTGGCTTCTTCTATCTGACAGATCAATAATATTAATAGCAACTAACACTGACTACTCACTATGTACCAGAACCTTTCTAGGAAGTTCACATGTATTACGTTGAGTCAAGATTTTCAGTTGCTTAGTCAACGTCCTCAATAACTATTAGGGGAAACAGCTCCTGCCATGATGGCATTCTTCTATCTAAAGAATCACAAGCAGAACTTTGCAATAAGTGGGGTATGAACGCTCCATAGAAGACATATTCATGCGATTCAATGGAAATAGAGCATTCATACCCCTTAGAAACAAGAAGTTAAATGCTAATAGATGAAAGACCTTGATAGATAATCTAATCTAACCAGCATGCTAGAAACAAGGAAACTGAGACCTGAAAAGGGGATTTATTCAAGATCAAAGAAAACAAGCACAAATTTCATATATTGTTCTCCTTCTGCCATGGTGCTCACCCATACACATCTGAGGAGAGATCTTTTTGATTGCTGCCAGTTGGAAAAACAGGATTGGAAGAATGTTCTCACTACCCAAATGTCAATGGCAGAAAGAAATCAGAACAAACTGCTTTCATTTTGGATGGAGCACTCTGTGTAGAGGGTTCCAGAAAGACTCCCAAATGACTATTTAGCCATACCTATAACTGTCTGCCTCTACCTACATGCAGCTCTCAGCCTTTTCCCAACAGACCACTATCTCTAACTAACTGACTTGAAACCTTTTTGTTTTAAATATCAGAAGGGCACTAAGTAGCATGCATTTGCCCAATTCCGTTGGAAATGCCAAAATAGCATCTCCAGGGGAAGAAAACCCAAGCCAACCTGCAATCAGAGATGTGACAGTGAGAGAGGTAGCATCCCATGCACATTGATGCTTTAATACAATACAAGATACCTAGGCTGCTATTTTGAATCATTCTATGATAGCATCAGTCACAATATAACATAGAGTACTTCCAGAAAGTCTGCTTATATAAGACTAAGATATTTCAATCTGAAACAACTGGAGTCAGAGAAAACAAACTTCAAACTGCAAAAAAATAAATAAATAAAATCATCAAAGGAATAACTTAGTCATTCTCTGATAATATCCAGCTGTCTGATTATAGCACTTAGTGATTTTTCTTTCTGATGATCCATGACTACATCCTTTCTCCTAGTTGTCTCTAACCATAAGTCTTTAATATTTCATGCAAAAGAAATCTGCTGGAGATTTAAGAACAAAAGAAAAAATGGTGATTCAACCAGCAGCTATCCCTTACCTACCTGTGGCTCTGTGTGAGTTGGAGAAGGGAGCTGATGCCTCAGCAAGAGCTGCAAGGGTGGCCAGCACTGAGGTGGTAGAATTTGAGAAGTGTACTGTTGAGGAGGCATGGGGGTCACCTATTTCAGTAAAAAAGGCAAATGAGGTCCAGCAAAGAGAATAAAATTGAGATGAACTAAAATGATTGAGATGCCTTATTAAATCAAAACCTCAGCTTTCTGCTTGGTCTGTGTGGTTCAGTGGTTCAGTGTTGATCCGTGAACCAGGAGATCATGGTTTGATTCTGGGTCAGGGCACATGCCTGGGTTGTGGGCTTGATTCCCAGTAGGGGCTGTGCAGGAGGCAGCCAATTGATGATATTTTTCTCTCACTGATGTTTCTATCTTTCTATCCCTCTCCCTTCCTCTCTCTCTAAAAATCAATAAAAACATAATTAAAAAAAGAAGAAGCATTAAAGCCCTATCCAGTTTGGCTCAGTGGATAGAGCATTGAAATACAGACTGAAGGGCTCCAGGTTCGATTCCAGTCAAAGGCACATACCTCAGCTGTAGGCTGAATCCCTGGCCCTGGTCGGGACTTGTGTGGGAGGCAGCCAATCAATGTGTCTCTCTCACATGTATATTTCTCTGTGCTTCTCCCCCTCCCTTCCACTCTCTCTAAAAATCATTGGAAAAATATCCTTGGGTGAGGAGTAACAAAAACAAACAAAACAGAAGCATTAAAAAAAAAACAACACCAGTTATTTGTAAAATATTTAAAAATACTTGAAACTCCTATATAACACTCTTTATAATAAATCTTCCCACAGAGTAAAGAATCTTCTTCCGATATGATTACTCTAGGTAATCTAACATATTTATAAATTTTAGAAGAATTTCCTTTAAAAGGTAGATTACTTATATACTTCTCATAGCTGCAAACTATCTTAAAGCTTTTGGATGAAGACTGTGGGAGTGGAGCTAAAGGTAGAGATAGTGATGATATCTCTAAAATACTCAGGGAACCAAATGGTCTGAGCAGAACACAGTGCTTGACCTCCAGAAAGGAGCCTGTCTATTTAATTACTTCTTGCAGAGCAAGATCCAGCCTTTTCCCTATTTTTTCTGTTTAGTTCATGCTTTTCTCATCACTCAGCCTATCATAACAAATGCTAGCATAAGAACAAATGGTCTGGCTGGTGAGGTGGGGTGACTGAATGTCAACTGATGAACTCAGTGGGGGGCGTGCAGGAGACAGCTGATGATGATTCTCTCTCATCTTAGATGTTTCTCTCTCTCTCCCCCTCTCTGATATATATACACAAGTGATCAAAACAAAAAACTAACAAATGAGCCCTTAGCAGGTTTGGCTCAGTGTATAGAGCATCGACCTGCGGACTGAAGGGTCTGGGGTTCGATTCTGATCAAGGGCATGCCTGGGTTGCACTCCAACCCCAGTAGGGGGTGTGCAGGAGGCAGCCAATCAGTGGTTCTCTCTCATCATTGATGTTTCTCTCTCTCCCTCCCTCTTCCTCTCTGAAATCAATTAAAAATATACATATGTACATATATAAAAAAATAACTAACAAATGAAAAAAATAAGGTACAAATGATTTTTAAATATATGTACATTTATTGATGTTGGACTATATGTGATAGTAAGTCACTAGCAATCAAAAAACAAGGCCACAATTAAAACACACACACGTGTGGATGCAAATACACACACACACACACTCTGGCCACCCAACTACAGAATAGCTGTATAGAACTGTTTCATGAGAAAAGCATTATATATGATTATTCCAACCTAAGGGTACACTCTCTCCTTAAGAAAAAAAATCCTCACCCAAGGATATCTGTTTTTTATTGATCATTAGGGTAAGAGAGAGAAACATGGATGTGAGAGAGAAACATCAACAGTCTGCTTCCTGTACCAGTGATAGAACCACAACCTAGGTATGTATCCTGACCGGGAATCAAACCTGTAACCTTTTGGTGTGTGGGAAGATGCTCCAACTAACTGAGCCACCAGGCCAGGGTGGCAGTCTACCTTTAATTCAATAAAAAATGAATACTTGTGAAAAATCAGGTTTAGTGTTCTGACACACAGTTGAAAATTTTTTTTTAAATATATTTTATTGATTTTTTACAGAGAGGAAGGAGGAGAGATAGAGTCAGAAACATCGATGAGAGAGAAACATCGATCAGCCGCCTCCTGCACATCCCCCACTGGGGATGTGCCCGTAACCCAGGCACATGCCCTTGACCGGAATCGAACCTGGGACCTTTCAGTCCGCAGGCCGACACTCCATCCACTGAGCCAAACCGGTTTCGGCTCACACACAGTTGAAATTGAAAAGACCGCAGGCCGACACTCCAGGTTTGGCTCAGTGGATAGAGCGTCGACCTGCGGACTGGAAGGTCCCAGGTTCGATTCCGGTCGAGGGCATGTACCTTGGTTGCAGGCACATCCCCAGTAGGGGGTGTGCAGGAGGCAGCTGATCAACGTTTCTCTCTCATCAATGTTTCTAACTCTCTATCCCTCTCCCTTCTTCTCTGTAAAAAAATCAATAAAATATATTAAAAAAAAAAAAAAGAAAAGAAATAATGCAAATGACCCCTTTAGACTTATCTCAGGCAGTTCTAGGAAAATAAAGTAGTTTATTGTTTAATAATGTTGTTTCCTTTTCCTCAATATAAGACACAACATCAAATAAAGTAAAATGTGCACGGATACTGTTGTTTTTGGAAGAGAAATGGCATCATCAGTGCCAATTCTTGTTACCTATTCAAAATGTGACATATAAATAAACTCTTCAGACCAGGATTTAGGGGAGTGTGCTATGGTAGGCTAGACAATCTTAGTAAGTTAATGAAAACTAGATCCAGAAAAACAAAGTAATTTGCCCAAGGTCATGCAGCTAGTAAATACCAGAGCCCTGATTAAAATCTAATTCATTAGCCGAAGCCGGTTTGGCTCAGTGGATAGAACGTCGGCCTGCGGACTGAAAGGTCCCAGGTTCAATTCCGGTCAAGGGCATGTACCTGGGTTGTGGGCGCATCCCCAGTGGGAGGTGTGCAGGAGGCAGCTGATCGATGTTTCTCTCTCATCGGTGTTTCTGACTCTCTATCCCTCTCCCTTCCTCTCTGTAAAAAATCAATAATTTAAAAAAAAATAAAGCTATTTATATTTGACTTTGGAGTACATCTTATGATTCTACAGAAACAGGAAATTCCTTTTCATAACTCTGTTTTGCCATGATTAATGTTTAAATTAGTCTGCCCTCCTAATCACTGAACTCATGATGACTCATAACTTTAAAATTGAAAGCAAACTTTGTAATCTGGATTTTTTAAAAATATATTTTTATGGAGTTCAGAGAGGAAGGAAGAGGGAGAGAGAGATAGAAACATCAATGATGAGAGAGAATCATTGATCGGCTGCCTCCAGCACACCCCCACTGGGGATCTAGCCTGCAACCTGGGCATGTGCCCTGACCAGGAATTGAACAGTGATCTCCAGTTGGGCTGTCATCTGAATTTTGGTATCAGAAACATTTATCAGTATAATATTCCTAGGACTCTATCAGTTAATTCTTAAAAATATTACTGGATGGCCGAAACCGGTTTGGCTCAGTGGATAGAGCATCGGCTTGTGGACTGAAAGGTCCCAGGTTCGATTCCGGTCAAGGGCATGTGCCTGGGTTGCGGGCACATCCCCAGTGGGAGATGTGCGGGAGGCAGCTGATCGATGTTTCTCTCTCATCGATGTTTCTAACTCTCTCTATCTCTCTCCCTTCCTCTCTGTAAAAAATCAATAAAATATATTAAAAAAAATATTACTGGATGAAAAAGAACATATTACGTGTTGATGGGAAATAAGAAGTCCACCTACCGTTCAGGTAAAGAAGATCCTTAAACCCAGTGGAATAACACAACCTGAATTATGTCTAATAACTTTTATCTGTACTGATTAAGCATCAAGTAGGCCAGTCCCCTAAAAGGGAAAGCTAGCTAGAACTGCTTCATGGCTAAGATGACATCAGAGAGATCAGCTTTATTATGCGATAGTTTAGCAATTTCGATTTGCAATTGTCACCGTATGGAAGAGAGAAAGAGGAGCAGTTTGTCAAAAGCAACAGTATAAACCTGATATAAGTCAAGTCTAAGTATCTCTATCCGAGTGTCTTCAATTTTGCTTATCATTCCAAATCAAGGTCTGGAGAATTTCAGTAGTTAAAGATCAACTCTAGCTCTTTTCACTTGTTTGTGAACATGTAACATTGTTAGCTTCTAAAGACTTTTGGATTATAAAGCACTTGTTCTAATCAGTGTGGCCTTAATCACTACAAATCCAAAAGGCTATGAATGTTCTGATTAATGTATATGTATATTTAAGCTAAATATTTTTAATCATTTAGTAGCTGAATGCAAGGTGATATTAAATAAGTTGATGAGCTATAAAATGAAGGTCACTACTGCCCCCTTGTGGGCAGGACACAGTCAATCTTTACTGAGAAGTTAATTTCCACTAGCTCCTGATATTACTGAAGCCCTGCTATAAAATGGATACTGGCAGGCCAGCATGGCTCAATGGTTGAGCCACGACCTATGAACTAGGTCATGGTTTGATTCTCCATCAAGCCATGTGCCCTGGTTTCAGGCTCGATCCCCAGTGTAGAGCATGCAGAAGGCAATCAATGATTCTCTCTCATCATTGATGTTTCTCTCTCCCTCTCCCTTCCTCTCTTAAATCAATAATTAAAAAAAAAAATTAAAAAATTAAATAGCTCTAGCCAGTTTTGCTCAGTGGATAGTGTCGACCTGTGGACTGAAGGATCCCAGGTTCAATTCCAGTCAAGGGCACATGACCCGGTTGCGGGCTCAATCCCCAGTGGGGAGTGTGCAGGAGGCAGCCAATCAATAACTCTCTCTCATCACTGATGTTTCCCTCTCTCCCTCTTCCTTCTTCTCTGAAATAAAAATATATTTTAAAATTAAAGTAAAATAAATAGATCCTGAAATACAAAATATCAGTCTCACAACCTCATAAAGTGGATATTATTATATCTCAATGTTATAAGAAGATTTATATAAGTAGTTTTCTTACAGTGAAGCATCTAGTTAATAAATCAATATCTGAATGCAGATCTGAATGCACAATTCTATATTTATTGTATATATGCTCTACTTTACCACCCAGCCTCTCAGTAGTAACATTTCATTCAACATCTTCCTTTGATATTAAACTTAAGTAGGAATACAGTTGCTTATTTTTAAATGAAAATCAGAAACGGAAAAAAGACAAGAGTCAGCTGGAAAACTTATTTAAATGAGGACACAAGTGCCTTTGTTGTCAAACAAATATCTGTGAAGAGATACTGAAAACAAGGCCAGTTTTCTTCCTTTTTAGATAGATGTTTTTGTTAAAAATACATATTTCAAAAGGTCAACACCAAATGTTTTGTTATTTTGTTGTTATATATGTTCTCAAGAACAAATCAAGACTCTTAAACTTATTCAAATAATCACATGTACCTTTTTTATAACAGCATTCCAACAACCACTTATGTTTCTTCTGCTTTATTTATTCATATTTTGGGTTATGAATATAATAACTATCTTCCTTAGTAGTACTATAATGAAGTACCCCTATTATTTTCATTTTTGGGGTTAGGTATAACCCTTCAACAGATTAATGTGTAGAATATTTTACTTTTAACACAATAAGCACTCAGGTATAACCCCAATGTCTGACCTTCCCTCCCCCATAAAGAATACATACATTAGCTTTAAAACTGATTATAAATCCTTTATTTTGGGAAGATTTTAATAAAGGTGTGGGTATCAGAGAGGCTATTCATCTCATAGGAAAACCTGGGGTTCTGTTCATTTTAAGTCTAAAATAAATGCCATGTTATCAGAATATTACCTGAGGTTGTTTTGGTGTTGGCTGAAGAAACAAGGCTAGCGAGGTTGACAACTTCTCCTGCCGTGAAGATAAACGGGGCAGCCACAGTCACAGGGTTGGCTCTTTCGGGATTAGCATTCACCTGATTCTGCATTGCTTCCTATGAAACAAGGTGGGTATTTTAAAGTCAGAACACTTATTAACTTTAGTTACACAGTTGCTGAAGGGCCAATCCTCACCCCCAATGCTCTATCAAGCAGAACTAGTTCTAGCACACAATGTCCCAGGGAGCTCAGAGTTCTCATTAAGACCACTGTTTATTTTTTGTTTTCTGACAAGGAAAACAGAAATGTTAGGTTGCTTTCTCAAGCTTATATCTACTTTAGAAAACACGGTGTATTATGTGCAAAACCTTCTACACAATTCACTTAACCTCTCTGGATCTTGTATTTTTATTTGAAAATAAGGGGGGGTGGCCTAAAAAGTAATTTCCAGCACTAATATTCTGTGATCAATTATCTACAAGTCAATGTGCTAGCAGGAGATCCCTACAGAGAATCTATGGAGAAGAATATTCTCCAGAGTTTTGTCCAACAACTTGTTCCATTCTGCCCTGGAGAATTCCTCAGAGAATATATAACAAGCAAATAAATGCGTGCCAGATTTTAAAGTCTAGTTTCATATGCTGCACTTTTGTTTCCAGGAATGTCTGCACAATTTCAGTGAAAAGAAACTTATCTTTATTTTATTCTTTTTTTACTTTCAGAAGCAGTTTTGTGTGTTTTTTTTTTACAAACAAACATGTTCACTACTTAAAAAGTCCCCAATTATGAAAGGTCTCTAAACAAGGAATTGAAAGTTGAAGAGCATAAGCAGTTTACAGGGAAACCATCTGTAAGAAACAACAAACAAACAAGCCACTGAAAATGCAGCAGAAATGTCTGTCTATGTTTTCATATATAATTATCCCCTTGACTAAGAGCTTCAGCTTAAAGCAGATTATCAATTCTCTGGTCACTGTTAAATTCCTTCTTGAATATGCCCCTTCTTCCATCCTCTACTATCATTCCCGAACTCAAGCCCTCTTGGCTCTTGCCTGGCCAAACGAAAGTCACTATATGGTTCTTTAGCATTAAATCTTCTCGCCAATCTCGCCACACTCCAAATAATTATCTTTTTTTTTAAGATGGCTGGTGTAGCCAGCACCGGTTTGGCTCAGTGGATAGAGCGTCAGCCTGTGGACTGAAAGGTCCCAGGTTCGATTCCGGTCAGGGGCATGTACCTGGGTTGCGGGCACATCCCCAGTAGGAGATGTGCAGGAGGCAGCTGATCGATGTTTCTCTCTCATCGATGTTCCTAACTCTCTATCCCTCTCCCTTCCTCTCTGTAAAAAATCAATAAAATATATTTAAAAAAAAAAAAAAAAAAAAAAAAAAGATGGCTGGTGTAGTTCAGTTGCTTGGAGTATGATCTTGTGCACCAGAGGTAATGGGTTCCATTCCTGGTCAGGGCACATATATAGGTTGTGGTCTGATCCCCAGTCAGAGTGCATACGGGAGGCAACTGATCGATATTTCTCTTTCTTTCTCTTTCTCTCTCTCTCTCTCCCCCACCCCCCTCACTTAAAAAAAAAATCTAATATCAATCCTATATTCTAAAAATTCTATTAGATCCCCATTACCAAAATAGTCCAAACTCCTTTGTATGCCCTATAACACCCTTTACATTGAGAACCCAGCTCCCAAATTCCACTTCCCTTGACCAGTCTGTAGTCACAGAACTACTTACTCTTTCCTGAATATTCCATGTCATTTCACACCTTTATGTCTTTAATTTGCTCTTTTTCTAGCCTAGAATATCATTTTTTCACTTCTCTGCCCACTTGTCACTCAAAACTCAGTTCAGATTCTACATCCACTTTAATTCTTGCTTTAAGCATCATTAACACTCCCTATTCTGTGCTCCTGTAATAGCTGGTAGAACCCTAGCCGGTTTGGCTCAGTGGATAGAGCGTGGGCCGGCCTGCCGACTGAAGGGTCCCAGTTCAATTCCGGTCAAGGGCACAAGCCTGGGTTGTGGGCTCGGTCCAACGTGCAGGAGGCAGCCAATCAATGGTTCCCTCTCATCATTGATGTTTCTCTCTCTCTCTCTCTTCCTCTCTGAAATCAATAAAAATATATTTTAAAAAGTAGTTGGTAGATATCTGTTTATCACCAGAGTACTGTAATGCTTTATTTCTTGTCTGACCTTCATCATGCTAAACACTCCAAGGGCAGAGCCATGTCCTCTTAATCTTTATATTCCTAATCCTGTTATTTCCTGATATACAAGTGCTGGTTTAAGAAATTAATGGGTAGAACCATCACAGGTAACTTTTTTTTTTACCCTCATCCAAGGACATGCTTAGAGAGAGGAAAGGAGAGAGGGAGAGGGAGAGGGAGAGAGAGAAAATCATCAATGTAAGGGAGGAACATCAATCAGTTGCCTTCCGTACATGACCTGACTGGGGATTGAACCCGCAACCCAGGCATGTGTCCTTGACTGGGAATCAAACTGGCAACTTTTTGGTGCGTGGGCAACACTCAACCAACTGAGCAACTCTGACTGGGCAGCTAACTTTTCATTCTGAGATGGCTTCCTTTAATTCTGAGATGACTTGATGGGCTTCAGAGCTATGTACTGTCTCACATCCGTTGATATACATTTAGAAAACATAAAGAGGCTTTTAATATAGTCCCAAGTCAAGTTTAATGAGAAAGAAAAATTTTCATGGAGAAAAACAATCATTCTAAAGCCAAGTAAATCTAGTTTTTGTATTGGCCGCCAACACTGTTATTCAATCTCCATAAATAATTCAATGCTTTATAGAATATATGTATTTAAATATACTAATGACACTGAATCACAAGACTAAAACATATTAGAAGTACTTCTTTGATAAAATAGGGAAAATTCTGTTTTGATTCAGCTCCCATAATAAATCCTTAACTTCATTCAAGTACACTCTGGGGATTAAAAACAAAATACAGACCTGGAGGATGACCAGGATCTCAGCATTGTTCTTCTCCAGGGCTATGTCAAAGGCAGATTTATCGAACTTGCTGAAAGCATGGACATCAGCTCCATATTTGATAAGCAGCTCCACAACATCTCGATGGTGGTATTCTGTGGCCCAATGCAAAGCTGTCATCTTCAGCATATCCTTGGCATTCACATCTGCACCATTCTGTCATAGAAAAGTAATGTTTTCATATAGACACTGGTTACAACAGCACAGGTGCAAGATCCCATCACCAATACAGAGACTTTCCATAGGTTACACATATTCAAATTTAGGTCACCTTTAAGAAATATCAAAAGGAAAAAACATTTCTCAAATTATCCTGATGCTGACAGACATACTGCCTTCCATGAGTGGGTCTTCTAAGGACATCACTGGGAAATTATAATAGAAAGGAAAGGAGAAGGAAAAGAACAGATTTTTGTTGCATTTGTTAACAGAGCCGAGTGTCTGAAAAAGAAACAGGCATAAGTGCAGAGAACACCTGCAGAAAGGGAATGAAGAAAAACCAACAAAGTCTGTTTAGCTTTCAAAAGATTAGAATACAAAACTCTCACAGTCATGATTACTCTTGAGAGACAATTCAATGCTATAAACTGTCCTCAACTTGATCTTTCCCAACCTAGTTCCCTGCCACAGTTTAAGAAAGGAAGGTGGGTGTCCGGGTGTCCTTTTTACCATACAGACCCGCCACTATTCTTGCTTTACCCTAACGAGCAGTTCCACGATGTGTGCATGTCCATCAGCTGCAGCCATGTGCAAGGGGGTCCTGTCCACTTTGGTTCGGGCATCCCTGCTAACGCCTGCTCGAAGGAGCACTTCTGCTGTGGAATAATGGCCATACTGGGCTGCGAGGTGGAGGGGTGACGTTCCAAGCTGCAGGAAAATAATACTCATTGAATACCAGCTGTGTGCAGACTCCTAAATCATTACTGGAGAGACACAAATGAACAAGAGGTGAGTTTTATGGTTCCTGCCCATGGAAAGAGAGTATCCGGTGGGGTAGACAGGGCTGAATAAATGAATTAAAAAGTTAATATACTAGTAATGCCCTAACCGGTTTGGCTCAGTGGATGGAGCGTCGGCTTGCGGACTGAAGGGTCCCAGGTTCGATTCCGGTCAAGGGCATTTACCTTGGTTGCGGGTACATCCCTATTGAGGGGTGTGCAGGAGGCAGCTGATCGATGTTTCTCTCTCATCGATGTTTCTAACTCTCTATCCCTCTCCCTTCCTCTCTGTAAAAAATCAATAAAATATATTAAAAAAAAAAAGTTAATATACTAGTAGGGGAACAAACATACCATCAATTAAATAAGCGCTAAATAGAATGGATTTAAGTCAGATGGATTTATCATGTAAGATTCCCTAAAGGACATGATTTTAAACAGGGCTTAGAAGATAAAATAAATGGACAGACAAGAGGATTCTGAGTCCGGGGTAAAGGTTCAAAACAATTTCTAGGCAAAGGGCAGAGACTAGAAAGTTGCATGTAGAACTTGGAGTGCTAATTTAATTGCTTGTAACAGAAGTTTGTTACCACAGTAAAGCAAGGCAAAAAGACTGATGAGATTAAGAGGCAATAAAAATTTAGCAGCTAAGCCCGGCCAGTGAGGCTCAGCAGTTGAGCGTCGATCTATTAACTAGGTGGTCATGGTTTGATTCCTGGTCAGGGCACATTCCTGGGTTTTGAGCTCAATTCCCAGTGTTGGGCATGCAGGAGGCAGCAAATCGATGATTCTCTCATTGATGTTTCTTTCTATTTTTTTATATGTTTTTATTGATTTCAGAGAGGAAGGGAAAGGGGGAGAGAGCTAGAAACATCAATGATGAGAGAGAATCACTGACCGGCTGCTGCCTGCACCCCCCCGACTGGGGATCGAGCCTGCAACCTGGGCATGTGCCCTTGACTGGAATCAAACCCGGGACCCTTCAGTCCGCAGGCCTATGCTCTATCCATTAAGCCAAACCAGCTAGGGCTCATCACTGATGTTTCTCTCTCTCCCTCTCCCTTCCTCTCTGAAGTCAATAAAATATATTTTTAAAAAATTTAGCAATCAAACCCAGCTGGGCATGGCTCAGTGGTTGAGCATCAACCTATGAACCAAGAAGTCACTGGTTTGATTCCCGGTCAGGGCACATGCCCGGGTTTCGGGCTCGATCCCCAGTGGGGGGCTTGCAGGAGGCAGCCGATCAATGATTCTCTCTCATCATGGATGTTTCTATCTCTCTCTTCCCCTTCCTTCCTCTCTGAAATCAATAAAATACATACTTTTAAAAGTTTTAGCAATAAACAAGTCTATATCATCTCAAAGGAAATCTTGTAAGAGTTACCAGCATCCACTTTGGCCAGAAACCTATTCCTGTCTTTGCTTTATGCTGGCTTATTTAAAGCCTACTTCACTTATACTTTGCTTTTCATATATTCAGCCTCTGCCTGATTGGATTTAATTCACATTGCTCTTTTCAGGCCTATTTATAAAAATGCTAATCTCATGGGTTTCCTTTCTTCCTTTCAGTGAAGTGCTAAGAACCTGCTGTCCTCAGTCCTGGGCAGTGTGGCTCAGTTGGTTAGAGCATCTTCCTGTGTACTGCAGGGTCGTGGGTTCAGGGCACCTGAGGAGGGCAACCAATCTCACATCGAGGACACCCTCTCTCTCTCTCATCAATAAAGAAACAATACTAGGGTGAGGATTAAGAAAAACAAAAAACCTGCTGGCCTCTCAAGTTACGAATTAACCACTCCAGAAAAGAGGACACTCACACATTGTATTGTTAAAATTAGGCAATGTTTACAAAATCTATGGATGCTAAGGAAGCCCATATGATAATCTGGACCTGGATCTTCTAAACTTTTGCTCTCCAAGCTGGCTGTCTAGGATCATAAAATTACATCTTCCTTTTTTTATTATTTTATTGATTTCAGAGAGAAAGGGAGAGGGAGAGAGAAAAGGAAACATCAATGATGAGAGAGAATCACTGATCAGCAGTCTCCTGCACCACCCCTCCCCTTCTCCCCCTCCCCGGAGGATCGAACCTGCAACCCAGGCATGTGCTCTGAAAGAAATCGAACTGTGACCTCCTGGTTCATAGGTTGACACTCAACCAGTGAACCATACCGACTGGGCTAGACTATTTCTTATTAATCAGGACATTTTAAAGAAAAGAAAATAAATAGTTTATTAGTTTAGAAATGTACTTTTGCCCTAACCAGTTTGGCTCAGTAGATAGAGCGTCAGTCTGCAGACTCAAGGGTCCCAGGTTCGATTCCGATCAAGGGCATGTACCTTGGTTGTGGGCACATCCCCAGTAGGAGGTGTGCAGGAGGCAGCTGGTCGATGTTTCTCTCTCATCCATGTTTCTAATTCTCTCTCCCTCTCTCTCTTCCTCTGTAAAAAAAATCAATAAAATATATTTTAAAAAAGAAAGAAATGTACTTTTATTATACTGATTTTGTTTAACTTCTAGCTAATTACAGAAGCCTATAACCCAAGTACACTCCAGGGAGAATTAAACTTCTGGAAAATACTCTGAAAAGCGTTATAGAAAACCACAAGTATATAATACCTTTACAATTACCATCTATACATCCATAGGAGACACTTTCAATTTGGAAAACTAAAAGAAAATGAAAACCACATATTTAGATGAGAGAAAGAAAATGAAGCTTTGTGAGGAGAATGAGGCAGAAAGTGAATTAAAAAAAAAAATCAATAAAGTCTTTTTAGCCTTTAAGAAAAAGATTGGTGTCCTGGCTAGGTAGCTCCGTTGGTTAGAGCATCGTTCTGATATGCCAAGGTTTCTAGTTCTATCCCGTCAGGGGTTGAACAAAAATGGTTAACATAAAATAAAACTTGTGCCCTAACCGGTTTGGCTCAGTGGCTGGCTAGAGCGTCAGCCGGCAGACTCAAGGGGCCCAGGTTCGATTCCGGTCAAGGGCATGTACCTTGGTTGTGGGCACATCCCCAGAGGCAGCTGATCAATGTTTCTCTCTCATTGATGTTTCTGGCTCTTTCCCTCTTCCCTCCTCTCTGTAAAAAATCAATAAAATATATTTCTTTTTTAAAAAAGAATCAACCAATGAATGTGTAAATAAGTGGAAAAACAAAGATGTTTCCCCATCCCCCTCTCAAACCAATAAATAAATTTTTTTTTAAAAAAAGGAAGAAAAGGAAAAAGATTGGTAACAGCACACATTGGGAATAATCAAGAGAACTTACCCAGTCGGTGGTGAACGGGGCACCATTTGCCATCAATGTCCTCACTTCATCATCTTGGCCTTTTCTTGCTGCTTCTAGCAATCTCTTCCCCAAGTCCACCAAAGACATCTTTATGCATAGGAACAGAAGTTTTCAGGAAGCTGTAAATCAAACATAAGGAGAGCTGTCTGTAAAATGGTTTCAGAAGACTTCTGTACTTTAATATACTTTTCAAGGTGATTTTCTGGTAGGGCGTTTCCTCATCATCTAACACAAACAATTAGATATTTGGAAAAATTTCAGCCCCCGAACAACATTTCCCTCACTTTCAATCTCCAGTATAATAATAATAATAATAATAATAATAATGATAATAAATGCAACACATCACATTATGACCTCTCTAGTTTAAGGGATCAATAAAACAGCATTTCATCCTTTTGAAATGACCATGGGTAGAAATATGTCACAGGAAAGAATGACAAATAGACAAGCCAAGGTATATGGCAGACACTTTTAAAAAAATGAACAGAGTGAACCTCCCACTTCAAAGCAAACAAACGACAGTATTTATTGCCAATTATCAATTATAATTTCAACTTTCAAACAAAAATTAGAATTTGGGGAAATATACCTCCACCATGAGTTGAAGTTTACTACAAACTTTTTGATGAAATTCATGGTGACACTAATGAGTGTGAATTTTTCAATATTGGGTAATAAAATGCATCAACACTTGGATAATCTGCATAATCTGGTGAACCAATATTTTTCAAATGACCAATGCATGTTATAAAATCATACAGGGGTAGAAAGAGAGGGAAAAAGATGGCTGAGGAGTAGGTGGAAATTACATTCACTTCCTCCCAGGGCCAAATTGGAATTACAACAAAATTATAGAGCAATCAACCTGAATAACCAATTGAAGACTAGCTGAACAGAAGTCTTATAACCAAGGATTTATAGAAGCCACATCAGGACGGGACCAAGTGACAGAAGGGCCATAGGACGAGAGAAGCCCAGTTCTCCGAGCTGATCGTTTAAAAGAGCTACCCAGAAGGGTGGCACCTACATTGGACTTTGCACGATTAAATATAAACCTTGCCCTGGCTGGTGTTGCCAAATGGTTTGAGAAACGGCCTGCACACTGGAGGGTTGCCAATTCCAGTCACGGGCATGTACCTGGGTTAAAGGGCTGATCCCCTCACCTGGCTGGGGCGCGTGTGAGGCAACCAATTGATGTGATGTTTCTCTCTCCTCTCTCTCCCTACCCCATTCTTCCCACTCTCTCTTTAAAAAAAAAATCCTCACTGCCCCCCCCCCCCAATATATTTTTATTGATTTCAGAGAGGAAGGGAGAGGGAGGGAGAGACAGAAACATCAATGATGAGAATCATGGATCGGCTGCCTCCTCCGCGCCCCCTACTGGGGATCTCGCCCGCAACCTGGGCATGTGTCCTTGACCGGAATCTAACTGGGACCCTTCAGTTTGCAAGCCAGCGCTCTATCCACTGAGCCAAACCACCCAGGGCTAAAATGCATTTTTAAAATAACAGCATTTTGGGGGACTAAGTGCCATTCTCCCAGGACCCACCAGATAAAAGATGTAATCTAAGAGCCTGTCCTGTGTGGTTCAGTTGGCTGGGCGTCGTCCAGTGTCCTGGGAGGTTGCCAGTCCAAGGGCACATGCCCGGATTGTGGGCTCCATCCCTGTAGGGGTTGTGCAGAAGGCAGCCAGCTGATTGATGTTACGCTCTCACATCAACGTCATCAATGTTTCTCTCTCACTCTCCCTTTCTCTTTCTCTAAAAATCACTGTTAAAAAAAAACACAAAGAAAAAAGATGTAAGGGAA